AGCACCGAGCACTCGCCTCTTCATCAGGACGAGGCACGCAGTCTCAACACTAGCACCGAGCACTCGCCTCTTCATCAGGACGAGGCACGCAGTCTCAACACTAGCACCGAGCACTCGCCTCTTCATCAGGACGAGGCACGCAGTCTCAACACTAGCACCGAGCACTCGCCTCTTCATCAGGACGAGGCACGCAGTCTCAACACTAGCACCGAGCACTCGCCTCTTCATCAGGACGAGGCACGCAGTCTCAACACTAGCACCGAGCACTCGCCTCTTCATCAGGACGAGGCACGCAGTCTCAACACTAGCACCGAGCACTCGCCTATTCATCATGCAGGACGAGGCACGCAGTCTAGACACTCTTCTCTAGGAGCATCTAATATTGCTAACCTCGTTTACTTAGTTTCTTCTACCATTTTGGTGAGAGGTTCAATTAGAGGTTTTTATACTTTTTAGCATCATTGTATGAATCTTGTTCCATAAATTGTATTAAAATAAAAAATGAGATAAAAGTGAGAGCTAATGTAGCATATGAAATAATTGACAAACAAAATATTGAACATTCACTGTACGTAATGTATTTACACTTCGGTTTGGAAAAGTCATTTCATCTAGTCAATTGTGATGAGCCCCTTTGAAACGATCGAAAATCATACTGATTCGTGATAGACGTAAATTAAAAGTTAATAGAGCGTAGTTCATTTACACGTTATTGTAATTCGAGACGGCCTGTGAGAAGAAAAAAGTTTTATGATATTTCTTATAAAAGTGGAAGACGCAGTAAAGTATAAAATGAATGATGGAAATAGTAATCAGCTGCAGATTGAATTTGATAATAACCGCGATGATATTCGCCATTTCTCCACCGAAATAACTCAGCTTATAATTCAAGTAAAAATATTTGAACAAACACTGAAAAGGATGTTAGAAATAAAACTTTAAGAAATGCTCTATAAGTNAAAGAACCTGTCCATCATTCACTCGTGAGGCCCGGCCAGTCAGTCAGGCGTGCATCTAAAAGCTCTCAAAATTTGTGAGTTTTTCGTCACGCGGCAGGACGAGAGAATCGAACCTTCCCCGCGATCCGGCCAAATTAAAGCCTGGACCTCTAATTTATTCTGCCAGTCATTTAATAAAAGATCGCCGCGGCCAGCAGCGCTTCTTTTCGAATTTTCTACGGCTAAAAAATCGCTAAAGCCTTGCTAAATCTACTATTCAGGGAAGACAATGCGACAATTAATTTGGCAATAAATTACAACGACAAATTACGCTAAATGAATCTATATTTTCCAAGTCAAAGGCAAAAAACCATAATCCTAAAAGCTATATTATTGCTATGAAATTAGTGAACAATGCAAGGTCCACGAGAACCACTGTTATAAATTGAGGCGAGCAATACCATGGGCTCTCGGTACTCACGGTGAGCTATAAAATTTGATATTTTGTTGTTGCTGCGAAATTATTGATAATCAGTCATGAAATCAAGTATCTTGACTGCTCCCATTGTGCTCGTTACACCTCAAAAACAAATGAAAAACTTGTCTAATAAATTCGTAAACAATAGACTCGTATCTATGAACTGATTATCCATTATCACTAAATCCTTCATAAGTAATGCCATGCATCGTTTCCTTTCACACATTCAAAAATTTGATGGGGATTTTGTTTACTCGTCAAGCGTCATCATGCTCAAGTGATGTTCAACTCTGGAAATATTAATCAGCTGCAGATTGAACTTGATAATAACCGCGATGATATTCGCCATTTCTCCACCGAAATGACTCATCTTATAATTCAAGTAAAAATATTTGAACAAACACTGAAAAGGATGTTAGAAATAAAACTTTAAGAAATGCTCTATAAGTGGAAAGACGATTATTTAAATAAACAGAAGTACCATTTTGCACTTCCTTGTCTAAGTTTGAGGTGTCTTATAATTAGGAGATCGAACTGCGGAAAAACTTCATTGCTATTGAAGTTTCTATTGGAGAACTTTATTGATTTCAACAACCTTTTCATTTATAGCAAATCAACTCATCAGCCTGAATATAAGTTGTTGAAAAATTCTTTCGATTAGGGCAATATTGATGAATGTGTTAAGACGCCAACAAAAATACGCAATCGAATACTTTGCTAACACTGCTTCTCTCCCTGACCCAAGTGACACAGACCCTCAGAAGCAAAATTTGTTCATTTTTGATGATATTGCTGCGGAAAATAATCAGAATCCTGCTGATTGTTTATACTGTATACACCCATGGAAGACACATTAACTGTAGTTCAAAATACTTATCCCAAAACTATCACATATTACCAAGGCAAACCAATAAATCGAAGTTAAATTTATTAATTCTATTCCAGTAACCTTTCCACGATATGAAGAATATTCACAGTGGTGGCATTGCTTGCGATATGTCCGTTGTATAGTTTCAAGAATTATGTAATAAAAATCGTATAAAAAACCAAAAAGCTTTGTTTTGGTCAATAAAAATGAGCACCTATAGGTTCCGGAAAGTTATTCAAAAATTTAAATCAATTATACATCCCAAAAAAGTTTCTTCCATAGTGACACTCGTTCTAGGTCATGTCCTGGGTTCTCGGCATTGGTTAAAAAGGTGCATGGACAACCATGAATGAATGATCGGTTATTTTTTCTTTTTGAATGTCGTTCTTTTTGAATGCGTCTAACCTATTAAGACGCTTATGCAGATTGTGATGATACACTCACTATCTATAATTACTTTCGTACAGCAATTGAAATTGACATATTTTCCATACTGATATCAGCTTTGATTCTAACATATTGCTTCAAGACTAGTTTTCTGGAGCCTATATACATAATGTGTTCTCTAAATCTTATTGATAAATACAATAGTTTATGAATACAAGCACAAGATGTTATAAATCGTCAACTTTTCTTTAGTTGTTCCTTCTAATATTTCGATCGAAGTTGCTCATGGCATTTAGCATATTTCGTGACTTAGAAAGCCGGTAAATAATATCTATGCAAACATCACGATTTGTCCAAATCCGAGGCTAACAAATGAACTTACCGCCTGAAAGACAGATGCAGGGGAATATTTCCTGATTAGTTATGGACATACCGCATAAATGCATATTTATCTAGCACCTTACGGACCAGGCAATAAGTCCAGCAGCTATCTCAATCAATGGTCAGTAATGGAAAGATCGGGTTCCAAAGGCTGGATCCCTTGTGAATCAAGTCACGAAAAGTACAGGAAACGGCAACAGGCCATCCCTAACAAAATTTAGAGTCGCTCAGCTTCTGGTAATCTAAATCAAAAGCTGTCGCGGCTGTGAATTTTCACTGGGATGGGCCTATTTCTTCAGTGCCGACACTTCTATTCTGTTCTACTCACCAGACATAATCTGTCGCGCACGGCAGCGCCGAAGAGCGTCATTCTGGTCATCTCGACGTTGTCCTCCAACCTTCTAATGGCGCCGTACATCGTCTGTGTCACGTCCCAGTCGTCCTGGGTGTCATCAAATCCATATATCGTTATTAATTACAAACATTATTACACTTTCTAACTCAGCATCATGAGAGATTTGATTATTAATTTCAGGATTCGAGCTGTCGTGCCCTCAAATAATGCCTTACTTATTTTTGTTCGTGAATTATAATAAAGCAATATTGGAGAGCAATATATAGGCATTTTTGCAGAGGGTGACATACTTGTCTGGTTCTGAAGACGCCCTGCGGCTCGACAGGAGGGCTGTGGCCGTTCATCTTGAGCTGTTCTGAGTCCGTCTCGAGGACGCCGTCCTTGACGACGTAGTGGATGAGGTCCATGGCGCGCCGCATCTGGCAGAAGACCGTGTCGCGGTTCTCCCGTGACGTCACGCACTCGGGGTGTCTTAAACACACCTGCGGGGCATGACCGACGTGTGGGGCATGAACAACGTGTGGGGCATGACCAAAGTGTGGGGCATGCCCATCGTGTGGGGCATGACCATCGTGTGGGGCATGACCAACGTGTGGGGCATGACCAACGTGTGGGGCATGACCAACGTGTGGGGCATGCCCATCGTGTGGGGCATGACCAACGTGTGGGGCATGACCAAAGTGTGGGGCATGCCCATCGTGTGGGGCATGACCATCGTGTGGGGACTGACCAAAGTGTGGGGCATGACCAACGTGTGGGGCATGACCAACGTGTGGGGCATGACCAACGTGTGGGGCATGACCAACGTGTGGGGCATGACCAACGTGTGGGGCATGACCAACGTGTGGGGCATGACCAACGTGTGGGGCATGACC